CTTTTCTTTTCTTTTCTTTTCTTTTCTTTTCTTTTCTTTTCTTTTCTTTTCTTTTCTTTTCTTTTCTTTTCTTTTCTTTTCTTTTCTTTTCTTTTCTTTTCTTTTCTTTTCTTTTCTTTTCTTTTCTTTTCTTTTCTTTTCTTTTCTTTTCTTTTCTTTTCTTTTCTTTTCTTTTCTTTTCTTTTCTTTTCTTTTCTTTTCTTTTCTTTTCTTTTCTTTTCTTTTCTTTTCTTTTCTTTTCTTTTCTTTTCTTTTCTTTTCTTTTCTTTTCTTTTCTTTTCTTTTCTTTTCTTTTCTTTTCTTTTCTTTTCTTTTCTTTTCTTTTCTTTTCTTTTCTTTTCTTTTCTTTTCTTTTCTTTTCTTTTCTTTTCTTTTCTTTTCTTTTCTTTTCTTTTCTTTTCTTTTCTTTTCTTGATAGTTTAATTTACAGCTTTTCTTTTCTTTTCTTTTCTTTTCTTTTCTTTTCTTTTCTTTTCTTTTCTTTGACATTCATATTGACACTGTTGTGAGGTTTGAACTGATGAGAGCTGAACAGCAGTAGTAATATGCTTGCTTTCATTTTGCTTATGCTTATTAGGGTGAATAAGGACTATCTATAGGATAAAGTGTCAGGAGAAGTTTGGCAGTATAAGACCATGATGCTCTTGACCACAAAGTATTGGTGACATGGATTTGGTTTCTAGTGAAGGTGAATAATGTTGCTCACATGGCCATGCTGCTTTTTAATGGTATTGTATAATTCTGATTGAATTAAATAAAAAGACTCCCACTGATTCCAAAGACAGCTGAATCAGGCGTAAATGAAAGCTCCCTATGTATGGTTAATGGCAATTGCTCTTCTGCTTCTGAAGTCCTTCTTATGGAGAATACCACAGAGCATTATTTTGCCATCCTTTTTGTTGAATGTGTATGTAAGGCCATTAGAAGCCCTGTTTAGCTTTCCTCAACTTGAAAGGACACAGATATTACACTGATATAAAAATAAGGGATGTTAAATTGCGGGTAATTGACTAATCAAATAGTTGATGCATTTTGCATTGGCTGTTGCTACACTTTAAAGGCGAAAGCACCACTGGAATCTCGTATCAACTGAGGGACTCCCCGCTGACCCTGGGCTCCATCTGGTGCTAGTGCTTTGAAATGCTGCGAATAGCCTGACTCTGGGCTTCTGCTGCAGTGTTTCAAAGCAGCAGCACTGCACGGAGCCTGTGATCAGCTGGGAACTCCCCAGCTGATCTTGGGCATGCTACTGCTTTGAAACTCCTCAGTGAACCTGACCCCAAGCTCCTGAAGCACTGACCCCCCCAAACTCCTGCAGCATTTCAAAGTGACAGCACTGCGCGGAGCCCGGGATCAGCTGGGGAGTCCCAAGCTTACCCTGGGCTCCATGTGCGTTGTGGCTTTGAAACACTGCCGCTGGAGCCCAGAGGCAGGGTCCATGTGGCATTTCAAAGTGGTAGTGCCGCATGGAACCTGGGGTCAGCGAGGAAGTCCCCAGCTAACCCTGGGCTCCATGGGGTGCTGCTGCTTTGAAATGCTGGAAAGAGCCTGATGCTGGGCTCCTGCGGCCACACCACATGTAGCCCTGGGTCTGGCTCCAGGCTCCACACAGCGTTGCTGCTTTGAAGTAGCCTCTCCTTCCCCCCCTTCCCTACTTGCTTCCTCTTTCTGATAGAGGCAGCAAAGTGTGTGTGGGGGGGAGGGGGAAGGCGTCTAGTCAACAGGCTTGTACACTATCCGATAAGTATTTGCTTATCGGATAGTCGACTAGTCCTTCACATCCCTAATAAAAATAATAATAATGGTGATGGATACTCTTGGTCACAAAAGTGACTATGTGTCTCCCACTAAAGAAAACAGGAATGACTTTGTAAAAATGCCAAAACTGGCCATAAATGAAAATAAAACAAGTCACAGATAATTTTATTGTGGTACCAGAAGTCGGTTGTGAGAGATTTTCAAAGGAACAAATGGGAGAATTAGTGTCCTGTGTGTCTTTGAAACCTCACTTATTACTGTTGTTGGTTTTTATTATTTATATTGTCATAGAATCATAGAATACTAGGACTGGAAGAGACCTCGAGAGGTCAACGAGTCCAGTCCCCTGCCCTCATGGCAGGACCAAATATTGTCTAGACCATCTCTGATAGACATTTCTCTAACCTACTCTTAAATATCTCCAGAGATGGGGATTCCACAACCTCCCTGGGCAATTTATTCCAGAGTTTGACCACCTTGACAGTTAGGAACTTTTTCCTAATGTCCAACCTAAACCTCCCTTGCTGCAGTTTAAGCCCATTGCTTCTTGTTCTATCCTCAGGGGCCAAGATGAACAAGTTTTCTCCCTCTTCCTTATGACACCCTTTTAGATATCTGGCAGCACGTTCAGGCTTCAGCCAGGTCAGAGCTCCATTGTGCTAGGCACGGTACATGTAAATAACAGTTTTAGCCTTAACAGTATATAATTTAAAATACAGGGTGGGGGTGGATAAAACAAGTTTGTAGGAGGGGAAGGTAACAAAAATAGGCTGTATTAGCACAGATTTGCTGTGTGCACATTTGATTACTGCAACTCATTGGCTATCTTAACCACAACATGCCTAACCATTATCAGATGGCTGTTTTCTATAAGCATAGAGCAGAGGGAAAGATAGTTTGACTTCTTAATAGATTATTCAAAATATTGTCGTGCATAACTGCAGACTCAAAAAGGGGGTAGGTACACAGTTGTCCTGTGCCATGGAATTTTCTTTGTCAATTATCCATCTCTTTATATGCTAGCTTATTGTAAAAGATTACCTTTTTAATTGAAAGTAGCTATGAATTGTGTTACAGTGGCTTCAGTCCAGCATTACTTGAAAGACTAGTAAATACACCAAATTATTATCACTAGAAAAAAAAATTCATTCTTTAAGAAACAGCATTTCAGAATAATGACCTGCTCCTGTTATAGCTGATACTAACATTTAGTCCAAAATATTCATTTTATTTTAAATATTAGAGCAACAAGACTTTAGGAAAAGAAGAAAGCAAGCTGCCAATGTAAATGTAATTAAAATGTAATAAAACTGACTAAAATTGGCTATTTGTTCTTCACTATAATTAAGCATTTGGTAACACAAAAAGATAAAAATAGTAGGTGAGATTTTGGATAAAGGAGGGCTTGATGATAACAATTTGTATGTGGAGCCACATAACACATTCAGTATTTCACAATTTTTATGTGTGTAATTTTGTCTTTTCAAAGTCAGAAAATTTGGAGCATCCTAACATGGTGTGGGAAGTGAAGACAAATCAAATGCCTAATGCAGTCCAGAAACTCCTGTTTGTAGTGGACAAGAGAAATTCAGGGATGAGTGAATCATTGGAGTTACTGAAATGTAATGAGAACCTCCCATCTTCTCCTGGATATGCATCCTCCGATGAGCACATGGAGCTTGGTAAAGAATTTAATAGCATTCTAAAAGTTACATGGAAGGGGCAGTTCTGTAGTTACTCCATATGGGAACTTTCCATTTAAGAGGGGCGCACATCTAGACTATGTTTTACTTTCGAAAGAAGATATACAAATTCGGTGGGAATTTGCATATCTTCTTCCGATTGCTTTTTCGAAAGAGTTTCTTTTGAACAAGCAATCTAGACGCGATTCTTTTGGGAAAGAAAACCTTTTTTCAAAAGAACCTTCTTCCTCAAATATTGAGGTTTACAGGTTCTTTTGAAAAAAGGCGCACATCTAGACTATGTTTTACTTTCGAAAGAAGATATACAAATTCGGTGGGAATTTGCATATCTTCTTCCGATTGCTTTTTCGAAAGAGTTTCTTTTGAACAAGCAATCTAGACGCGATTCTTTTGGGAAAGAAAACCTTTTTTCAAAAGAACCTTCTTCCTCAAATATTGAGGTTTACAGGTTCTTTTGAAAAAAGGGTTTTTTTCCCCCGAAAGAACCGCATCTAGACTGCTTACTATTTCGAAAAAAACAAAAACAAAACAATTTTTTTTAGAAAAAGTGATCAGAAGAAGAAATGCAAATTTCCACTGAATTTGCATATCTTCTTTCGAAAGTAAAACGTAATCTAGACGTGCCCCTGGAGTAACAACAGAATCAGACAGAATTTTGCTCTTTCTAGGGATATACTTACAGTTTTTACTAATGTATTGCAGGAAATATGCATGACACTATAGTTGATGTATCGTGCCATCTTACAGTACTAAGACGCACTGGTTTCCCTGTTTAGCTCATCCCCAGCTCCTGTCTCAATCACATACAAGCAGATTAGGGATGTTAAATGTGTTTATTCAAGTAAATGTGTAATTGCTGAAAAATTCAGCAGTTACACACAAGAGCAGGAAAGTACACGGCTCCCTGGAAGCTGGTGCATGTGGAAAGCCAGCTTTTACGGGGTCCTGCCTGGCCCTCCATGCAGCTATCTCTGGTTCAGAGGCAAGAGCACAGAGGAAAAGCGGGGACCTATGTGTAACTCTGCATGTTAATTGATGAGTCCAAGCTCATCAATTAACTGTGTACATAGTTATACTTTCACATCCCTAAAGCAGATGTTGCCGGAAACTTGCTTTCAGAACATTGGGCTGTAAGTTTCTGCTCACAATTCCTGTGAAGTTCTTTTTATAGGTGGAGATGTAGTCATCTCCCAGGGGTATTTCAGCTTCTTTGGACCAAGTCCAAATGCAGATTCTGATTCTCGCCTAGAGGAGCATTTAGTTTCAGTGTTATCATGTTCAACAAAAGCAGTATATAAATAAAAGATTAATGTGTAATCAATGAAATTCACATATAATATCAAGGTACATAGTAGTTCAGTACAAGAAGTGCAAAAGTGTTATTAATTTACACAGCAGTAGAGTATACTGACTCCAGTAAGAACTTAAATAACAGATGGGAAAGTTTGTTTATATGTAAAGTGTGTAGGCTACTGGACATATGTATGTATAACTGCTGCATTCATGGTTTGTGAAATATGTGTCTCCAGATTAGCTGTGAAAGTATGGGAACCATTGGCAGAAATAGCCATGATGTTTATAGTTTTGTAGAGGCTTTCCTGTTGAAGCCGATGTGTTATAGTGCTTGATAGTCATTGAACATTTTAATTGGTGTAGTTTAAAGATACACAGTAATTTTATGTACTGATTGATCAGGGTCAGACTGATTCTGGGTCTTTTTGTCTAAACGTTGATCTAATTAAACCTTAAAAATACTGCATTTGCTATCAGAGCCACATTTTGTACGTATGCATTTGTGTTTATAACTTGATCTTTGAAAGGATCTGTTCATTTTAAGTTTTTTATTAAAATTATTGCCTAAGTAAAAATAGGAGTTAAGAGAAGAATTCTATAGTGTCACAGCTGCAGTCTTATAGGTAATATAGATGTGATAAAGGAATTTGAGAAGTACAGATAATTGCTGTATAGACTTTTTTTTTAATTACTGGGTTCCTTCTCTTTTTGTTCACCATAGATTTTTTTTATTCACTATTGTTAAGTATAATTCAGACGTAGAAATAAACATCAATTCTTGTGCACTTGTTTGTAGACGATCTTCCTGAACTACAGGCAGTTCAAATCGATTCTACCCCAACTGCGTTCTACCAGCTTGGTACTGATGTTTCACATCAGGAATATTCAAGGCCTTCATGGAACCAGCATACCTCAAATAACAATTCAGAAAGTGCTTATTCTTGTGAGAGTGGGGTGAACTGGTTGACAGAACTGGCAAACATAGCCACTAGTCCACAGAGTCCTCTCATGCAGTGTTCTTTTTATAACAGGTACAGGCATTCATTTTGGTGCTTTTAGTTCTAAAACAGGCAATACTGTTTATGATGTTACAAACATTTCCTTTATTCCTCAGAAGCATCTCTTTCCCATTGAAGTTCTGGGAATTTCCTATTTTAACTCTGTTCTTGGTCTCTCCATTCCTGCATGGTAATCATATTATTTTTCCAAAATACAGTATGGATTCCTTTTAGAGCCTATTGCACCAACTTCATAATTTGTCTATATGGGATGAAGTTGAACAGTGCTAGGCAGTCTCACACTGCTAAGAGATCATAGTATACTTGTGCTGCTTTGCCACTATAGGAGAGACACTAGATATAGCTGCACTGCAATCGGGAGGTGTGATTGCAGTATGCATAGACATTCCCAGACTTGCTTGTGTATGTCTACATGTGCTGCAGTTTTACCTCCTACTCATGCTGTTGACATACTTTGTGTCACAAGCAGGGGAAGTACATCATGAGAGCCATCCAGATTTGTGTCAAAGGGTGGTTAGATTGAATGCTGCTCTGCAGGTTTAGTTGAAGTCTGTAGTGTTGGCCTGTTTCTTTTGGCTCTCTGGCTTATACAACCCTGGTCCTTCCACATGTGACTTTAGCAGCAGAAGAACTGTGGCAGCATGTTGTATTTTTAGAGTAACTTTTCCTCATTTGGATGAGGAATGATCTTGTCATTTTTTTAAAAACTTTCTGCATTGTTGTCATTGTGATTGCCATGAATTCCTGATTGTATTAGAAATTGGTTAGGATGCTAAGGAAAGATAGAGAATAAAGTCATAATTACAGAAGAAAACCTGAACATAATTGTGAGTTGAAAGCATAAAGACTTTTATGGGGTATGTTCGATGAAGTGGCTTACAGAGCACAGATTGCCTAGTGACTGCATATATAGAAGCTTTGGAACCCAAGTTAAATCAATAAACATGGATATTAAATTGCTCCTACATAATGTGCTAAATGTTTGCCTCTTTTGGGTGGTATGGTTAAATGACAAATTCAACTGTGTGCAAGGAAAGTTGTGTGTTTGTATGGGTCTGTCTGTAAAATGTGAACACAGGCAAGCTGTTGTTTCTGCACACAATTTAGTTGTAGACAGAAGTATTCTCTTTTGGATTTAAATTCATATATGAAAAATAATTGTAAAATAAAATTTATGTAGTGTAATATTAGCATAATTTTGTGATGCCAGAATCTCAAGTTTTATTTTAATAAAAATAATTTTTATTGTAGATCATCTCCTGTTCATATAATAGCAACAAGCAAAAGTTTACATTCCTATGCACGTCCTCCACCAGGATCCTCAAAGAGTGATCCCAGCTTCTCTAAGCATCACTTAGATGAAACACCAGTGAGACATGAAAGGGTGAGTTGTCCTGAAATGCTTGTTAAATTATGTGAAGAATCAGAATAGATGAACAAAAGTTTTCAGAAACTAAAGAAAGTACAAGAATGAAAATGTATACATTCCTAAAGTCATTCCTATTGTAAGTTGGATTTGCCATTATTATTTTTTTAGCATGAGCTTGGTGACTATACACAACATGAAGATAAGTCTGTTGCACAAAGGGATGGCATTCTAAAAGATATACAGAGTAGGTGTATGAGGGAATGCAGAGGAGGAAATACGTTTTTGCTATTTAATTATTCTGTTTTTAACCTACACGTGTTGGCTTTGTGAATGAAGTGATGATGTCCCAGACATTTAAACATATGAACAAAGAGCCAGCCTCAACCTCATGCTCTCCACTGCCATGTGTATTTCTTGGCTCTGATTCCTGACTGTTGGTCTTTGGGTCTGAACCTGTTCCTACTAAATTCACTGACAAAACTCTCATCAACTTTAGTGGAACAGTATGAGGCCCTGCGGGTTGACAACACATTTAGCCACATTGTGGGATGAATGGATATGTTGGGTTTTGCAAAAGCATTCCTTGTAACTGACTGAGGCATCAAACTGCAAGGTTTTGAAAAAAATGATGTGTAGACCTTAACCAGAAAAATGGTGGCTCTGGTTCCTCAAATGATGAGCATAAAATTGAGGTTCAGATTTGCTCCTCTTGCCTTGAGCTATTGTATCCCTATTTGCAGGGAGTCCTCATTTTATAGTTCTCAGCTTAAAGTCAGTATGTAAAATTAAGCAAATGCATAAATATTTTCAAGATATTTGTTAAATCATTTGTATGTTTTTGTTTTCTGAATAGACAAGTAGTGAATCAGAGTCTGGCATTTTCTGCATGTCGTCGCTGTCGGACGATGATGATCTAGGGTGGTGTCACTCTTGGCCCTCAACTGTTTGGCACTGTTTTTTAAAAGGTAAAATAGCATTCAATGTAGGAGCCTTTTTTTGTAACAGGTTCTTCTTTTGAAAGGAACTTAGTGATCTTTTCTTTTCATATCTCAGGCACACGTTTATGCTTTCACAAAGGATACAACAAAGAATGGCAGGACGTTGAAGATTTTGTTAGATCTAAAGGTTGTGAAAATGAGGACGATCTTCTAATGGGTACTTGCAAGGTAGTCCTTTAATGCTACTGAATCCTTTGCAGTAACTATAGCATAGTGCTTATGTTGTGTTTAACATTATCCTCATCTTGTTGCTTCAAGAGGTTTCTTTTTTGAGTTAGATGCAGCTGTGTATTCTTCTTTAAGTGTCTGTGTGCCCAGCGCACCAGAAATGGAGATATTGCTAGCAGTACCCATAGAAGTTGGGTTTTCATAACCTCTCCCCTCTCCCCTTGGCTATATGAGGCAGTGCTGCCAAGACTCCCCTCGGTTCCTTCTTATCATCTGTGACTGGAGTCATTTCCCAACTGCTCTACTTCTTAGTGACTTTTTCTAATTTGTATATAGCTAATTAGATTCCTTAGTATAGTGTTAGTTTTCTTGTTCGCTTTAGTTGAAGTATTTCCCTGGGGAGTGCCATCATCATGGTTTAAACATTCTTCAGGTGGTGAGGGATCTTCATCTAAACTAGCACGTATTCAACCACCTGCTTCAGCACTGTAACCTTCATTGGATTGGAGGTTGCCTTTAGGTTCTGAGAGTGCTGTCTGGACCTGGAACAATCTCAAGTAGTCTCTAAAGACAAGTATCCTCCACATCACCTTTGCTGTGTGGCGTATTCAGACAATCCACCTGTGATGGGTTGCCTGCTCCCTTGGGACTGTTGCCTGATGTATTGAGACACCACTGAGCCTGCCTGCCTTGTTTGGGCAGCCTGCAATCTTGTCTTGCTGAGCATGGCTCGCCAGCGTGCCCCAGCACAGACACATGGAAGGGCCATGCCCCTCCGTGTGTAGTACAGACAGATACAGTAAACTTCCGATAATCTGGCACCTTTGGGACCCAGGGGGTGCCGGATTATTGGATATGCCAGAGTACCGGAAGGGGGGCTATGG